TCTCAATCTGTATTAGTTTGTCGCCCTCCAAAGTGAATGTGCTCTGGAAAATGAATATATTAGATACAAATCTAAACTTTCTCGGAAATAGCTCAAACGACTTTTTCATCCCTTCAGTTATCGTCTCTCGGCCCCCAATTTACAGTGTAATTACAAGCACAAAAGAAACGTATTCAGAAAATATTTGGGAGGAACAGGCGAGGAAAGAGAAAGCGATGCAGGGTGAGGAACTGGGAAAAAGCGGGGGCAATACTGCAGCGCTGTTCATTACCGAAACTAAGACAAATGAAAAGGAATAAACAGCGGCAGGTATTTCGCGCAGTCCCGTCCAGTCGACGTTTGCCTGCTAAGGATTTTCATTGTTTTACACTTTGGTCTGTGCAAAAATAATCGATTTGCTGTTTGATTCTTAAGCTGCGAAATTCTCCATCAAAAATTGCACGTAACGATACGTGAAACGCAAACGTACGTGAGAATTGAATTAAAAACCTTGAACGGTGAACAGCGTTCCAAAATTTCAACCTCTTAGCCCTTCAGCTTCCGAGTAACTTTCACATCAAAACTTTCAGGTGGTCGTACGTGAGAACTTGTCATAACTAGAGCTACACTTGAGTTTGGTAGGCCTACGCATAAGCAGAAAACATTCTCCTGAAGTTTTCAGCCTCTTAACTGTTCTGACCCCCGAGATAATAATTTTCCTGCCAAACTCACAAGGCCATATATGAAACCTAAGGGTAGGTACTGAGTTTGAATTTGCGAGGCTGTGTGTGGACAAGGGTCGTTACCTTAAAATTTCAGTTCCCCAGCTTTCGCGGTTCCCGAGGTGATTATCACCTTCTCCGCCGAAACTTTCACGGCGTTATACGCGGTATCCGTGCGAACATGAAGACTGGAATTTAAATTTCTGTGCTGTACGTAGACAGGGGACATTAACACCTGAAATTCCAGCTTCCCAACTTTCGTGGTTCCTGAGATAGTAATTTTCCCCGCCAGAACTTTCGCGAGGTCGCACGTGGTAACTGAAAGTTGAGTTTAAATGTGCAGGGTCACGCGGAGGCGGGGAACATTCTACTAAGATTTCAGCGTCCCAGCGTTCGTGATTC